CTTCACTTCCAATGGGATCAAAGGGTCACAGTATGAGCTACTCACTGTACACTCTTGAAATGGTGTAGGCTATGTAGACTTTCCCGTCAGTGGACTTGGGCCACATGCAGCCTCGAGACGTACAGGGGTCAGCATTTCTCTCAGTCTCAGACTTGTAGGCAACATCGTCCTCTATATACGGCTCATCAGGAGAACGGACTGCGGCACACCAGGGGATCAAAATAAAAACATTTTTCACTAATTCATTTCTTCCATCCATAAGATCGGATTTGTAGTTTGTACTGGATCACAGGACTAATAACTCTAAGTTTAGGTCCTATGTACTGGATGGAGGATATTAGGTGGTTTCCAGCATTCTTGAGACTACATATATGAACTGTTAGACCAACTAATAAATAAATTAAGGATTCGATATTTTCCCACCAGATTTGTATTCCTGGAAGGAGAAATCAAACCTTCATGTCGGAAAAAATTATGAAAACATTTATATATTTTATTATTTCTATTGTCCTGGGGGAAGAGGAACCAGCTGGTCTTATCTTGGATCAGAGCTAAAACTAAAAGCTTAAACTTTAACTTTAACTTAAGTTAACTATAAAAATTCTTACCAACATCCCTGTTGACTCTCTGAATCTGCTCTGAAGCACTCAGAGCCTTGGGAACCTGATTGATTGAAGACATATTGAGGTTTTAGTTTATTAACAGAGCTGAAAGACACTTTGATACACATTTTAAAACTTCACTTCAAGAATCACAACCAAATATAATATTTGGATCAAAAAAAGACAGCAAACTTACACAATCAGGAGTTTTCCAGAAATTGTACATTAAGAGAAAAGGAGACAAAAAAACAAATTTAGACTAAGAAACTATGTACATTTACTCAACCTTTGTACTTACAAATGAGATACTTGTAGTTTGATAGATTTTATACTTTTACTCCACTCTGTTTCAGAGGGAAATATCACGGATACAGTAACACATGCATTATTAAAGACTGAACTAGTGTTTTAACCTGTTCAGCTTGTGACTTGTTACAAAACAACAGCGTCTAGTCGGGCCTCTTCTTATGTACATACTATACTCAGATGTCTATGAGTTGTTAGCAGTTCCCCTCAGCCTTCTCACATGGTTTATTTTAGACCCAAAAGCGGTGAAATTATTGAATATTTCACACACACAAAAAAAACAATCATTAGTGAAAAAATAATAATATCAATGTGTGTAGTAACCTTTAGTTTTATCTGGTGACCCTTTCACCAAAACCCTAGGTTAAATCATTGTTGCATCAGTATTGTCGCTTTAATAATGTCACATATAACAAGGCCATTACTTTTATACTTCTGATACTTTAAGTACAATTAGCTAATAATATCTCTGTGCTTTTAATTACAGCAGGTGTTATTTTGAATGCAGATATTTTTCAGTCATGTATGGGTATTTTTACTTAAAAAAAAGATCTTTATACTTCTTCCACTACTAAAAAATTGTGTGGTTGTTGAGCATTTGGAGCAAAACTCACCTCCTCCTCAGCCCAAGCTGACACAACCACCAGGACCACAAGGCCCAGAATGCACTTCACTTCCATCCTAACAAATAACCTGCAGCAAGACACAAACAACCAACAACAAAACCAAATCAGACTTTTGTCACTTCGGTTAGTTAAAATAGCATTAATGAGAAGGTATAAATGATACTTACTGCTATCCCTGAGGCAAGAGAAACACAGCGAGTGAGTGGTGCAACATCACATTATAAAGCATCAACTGCACCGGAATCAAATCCTTTTAAGGATAGTTTATGTAGGGCAGTGAGGGAAGAAACGGAGTGGAAACAGACCTCAGAGCCCGATAAGAATATTTCACCTTGATGCCACATTGCGTATTCCCATAATAAGAGCATTTTAATCTTGTTTGATTCCGATACAAAGATTCCCCGTCAACAGTTGACATGTTTTTAACATACTGTATTACTTAAGCAGAGGATTTATTATACATTGTAAGTGTTTATCAATTAAATTTTACACTTAGTTCATTCCAGACTGAATTGTATTGCACAGAAAAAATTATTTCGAATTGTTTTCACTTGTACACGTATCACTGTTCGTTTACCCTTTTCCTGAGCCCAAATGCATTTTTTCCATTTAGTCTTGTGACATCTTAATAGAGTCATCACATATATTTATACTCACAATACGTAACATACCCACATAGACACATATACAGGCACACAGTGTGTTTGATCAGTTCTGTTGTCTTTTTCCTGAATCTGTTTTATCCACATATGTATTTATCTGTTTTTATTTTTAAATAACTTCAGTTAGACAACTGATGCATTGCTTCTCAGTGTTTATCTGTAATGTCCCCGTTAAAAAAACCAAAAAACTACTAGTGTTAGTTACTTCTTAACCATTGAGATTGCATTGTCAATAGCAGACATTCAATAAAAATTGGATTCCTCAAATCTTTAGTTCCTAAATTATTCCTAACTCTTGTACTTTCTCTGCTCGGTGTGGTCACCACTCCAAACCCTGGTGCAGGATTTTTAAATGGTTTTCTCTGGCCCAGTGTGCTTTGCGGCTCATGGAAAAGATAGAACCGACACCAGCCTCTGCAGATAGCGAGCCCGCCACGGCGCTCCATGGTGTGGTAAGTTAACAATGGTTAATACTGGCATTTTGGCCTACTTAGTATCAAATTATGATTTTAAAAGTAAAGCAAGTACAACCCCAATTCCAATGAAGTTGGGACGTTGTGTAAAACGTAAATAAAAACAGAATACAATGATTTGCAAATCCTTTTCAACCTATATTCAATTGAATACACCACAGAAGAACAAGATATTTAATGTTCAAACCCGATAAACTCATTTTTTTTGCAAATATTCACTCATTTTAAATTTGATGGCTGCAACACGTTCCAAAAAAGCTGGGACATGGCATGTTTACCACTGTGTTACATCACCCCTTTTAAACACACTCAATAAGCGTTTGAACTGAGGACACAATTGTTGGAGCTTTGTAGGTGAATTCTTTCCCATTCTTGCTTGATGTACAACTTAGTTGCTCAACAGTCCGGGGTCTCCGTTGTCGTATTTTGCGCTTCATAATGCGCCAACATTTTCAATGGGAGAGACGGGTCTGACTGCAGGCAGGCCAGTCTAGTACCCGCACCCTTTTACTACGACCACCTGTTTTATCATGTGCAGAATGTGGCTGGCATTGTCTTGCTGAAAAAGCAAGGGACGTCCCCCGAAAAAAGACTTGCTTAGATGAGAGCATATGTTGCTCCAAACCTGTATGTACCTTTCAGCATTAATGGTGCCTTCCACAGAAGCTGCCATGCACTAACCAACCCCCCCATACCATCACAGATGCTGGCTTTGAACTTTGCGCTGATAACAATCCGATGGTCCTTTTCCTCCTTTGCCCGGAGGACACCCCGCGATGCC